ATTAGCTTTATACAAGGTCCATTGTCTCCTCTACACACACATATACAGTATACTTTCTGCTAGCATAACAACTACAGTAGGCCTATTGTGTTGGCTGCAGTGTTTATTGCATAGCTCCTATTTAATGTTTTGATTGAAGATAAGCCAGAAGGTTTCAATGATGTGCAGCTTGCCAAAAAATGCTACAATTGTTTTCTCCCCTAACAAATGTTCACTTAATTCCTCTGTAATTAGTCACTGGGAAAGTATGACTCTCAACTTGTGTTATGCACTTCAAAAGTTATTTATCTATGTTTACCCTACCATGTCTGATTGTAGTCGACTCATGGACACATGCAAATATAAACCTTCATTGTCACTTAGAAAACATTCTTCCTCAAATATCTCAATGCTGTATCTGATGGACAGTTTACCAGCTTGGACGTTTACTGTTAAATGCTGAATGATATTGTAAATGGATTTATTTATTCTATAACTTATTCAGAGATGGATTTATATTTGTATGAATGATGCACTGAATTGTGCATGAGAAAATAAAAATGCAAGAAAAAATTCTTTTGCAGAATGGTTATTTCATTTCAATTGCTGTGTCACTCACTGGATCTTCATCGCAGCAAACAGTTAGAATTATTTGAACTTATCCAACACTGATATGACACTATTGTTGGAGGTTCCACCATGATCACTTTTTCTTTCAGATATTTCAGCAAGTCCTATAAATGTGACAGAAGAAATCTTTTCAAGACATGGTAAATATCTGTTTGTTTGAGGTTTCGTTCAGTTGTCTTATGATCATTTATGCAATTGCAGAAATAATTATGAGGTGTTCAGATGGCCACCATAAAACCCCCATTACAACAGATTCACACCTCAGCCATTTGGTTCAGACAAACTGTGGACTACTTGAAAAGTAGGGGCTTGTCCACTTCGAACTCTGGTACAGTTCATTTGTGGTCTGAAGACAAACGGACCAACCACAGGATTTTGTGACAGTTAATAAGTGATTTTAGCATGAATTCAAAACAACTATTAAATCTATCTGGTGATTGTGAACCATTAAGCAATCCTATAATAAGCCATCTGTGTATGCTAAGCAATGTATAGAGCAGAATCAGAGTCTGGTTTGTTGCCAAGTAGGTTTTCACATACAAGTAATTAAACAGCCGAAGATAGACAGGAAAGGGGGACAGAAAGAGAGGGGATGACATGCAGCAAAGGGCTGCAGGTCGGATTCGAACGCGGGCCGCTGCATCAACTCCATACATGGGTCACCAGCTCTACCAACTGAGCTAACCAGGCACCCCACATACAAGTAATTTGCCTTGGTAAATTGGTGCATAACAGTAAACCATTGTACAATATGACCGTTAATGAAATAAATGAAGAGCTGTACAGTTAGCAGGAACGTGTAAAATATTGTTCAGGGAATGTACAAGCTAGCAGTGTGATACATAATGATATTGCAATGTGTAAGATATAAGGGGTGTGCATTAATATAAAGCATAGATTCAGGGTGGGTGGTGTCAGTGTCAGTGGGGGACCCGGCTCATTGATGAAGTAGCAGGTTTTGGTCCTGATGGACTGCAGGAGAGTGTTTCAGAGTTTGTGTCCAGGGTGGGAAGGGTCAGCCACAATCTTACCTGCACGCCTCAGCGTCCTGGATGGGTGGCAGATTGCTGCTAAGATTATATTATCATATACGGCCATGCTGCAATCACAGAAACGAAGCAGAAGCACAAACTTACAAACCCACAAAACAAATGCCAAAGAAAAATGCTGCAAATTTGCGGCATTTTTCTGTTGCTGCGTTTTTCTGTTGGATTTTTTTTATGTGTTTGTGTGTTTTTGGATTTGCATCATTCCCATGTTTGAAGCGTTTTGCCATTTGCGGCGCGTTTGCCCTTGTCGGCCACCGTAATCATATTTATGCAAATCACATGCATGTGTGTCATTATTCACAACATGCAGTCATTTTTGAGTCTAATAATTCTCATGAGCTCTTTGTGACACCAGACAACATAAATATATGCATACTATAAGAAGCGTTACTGTGTAGTCAGACAGAATGCAAAGTGACTTTCTGTTGCGATGTGACTGCATTGGACAGTTAATAGAAAGATGCTTTTGGATGCAAATTCCAATTGGTGCAAACAATTGTCAATTGAAAGTGTTTCATTAAAAAAAAAAGTTTCGGATTCAGCACCCGTTCATGGTTTAATGAGAGTTGAGTGTGTTGTACCTTATTTGGAGAATGTAAGAATCACTTTAGGCCTACAACAATGATAAATGAAAATAAAAAAGAATTGTCATTCATTTCCATATAATTGTTTGTCAAAGCCATAGGAAACCACTGGAAAAAAGGGCGCAAGAGCCACAGGTTACCTACCACCTACCTAAAAGGTTCAATGATTAAAAGGCCTTCACTTCTGCCTGACTGAGCAGAAAAAAATAAGGTGTTGTTGAAGTTTTGCTTTAGAACACGCATACAGTGAACCTGCTGTGGGGCAGAGAGAGCAAAATAAAGAGAAGTATGTGGTTACTACACATTAGATTTCTTTGTTCGTAATGTAACGTGTGGTGGTTATCTCTACATGGAAGGAGGTCTGTCCCCTTGTTGCTCCATATGCTGATGTTTACTTTAGATAGGCTGTTCTGCGGGAGGGACGTGAGCACAAAGTGTATATTATAGAGGATGTTGGAGACTTTTGGCTCCCAATTATCTACAGGACGTCCTAGGTTACAGGTCATGTGTTTAGGCCTTTTAAGTTAAGCACTGGCACAATTCAAAGTCAATCACAGGTTAATATGAGGATTTTTGCTTGTATTTTATTTGTGGTGAAACTGAGAATTGAGTTTGAGTATGCTCTAGGAGTGGAGGTATTGTAGGATGCTAAAACAGAAAAAACAAACTCAGCCATGCAGCGATAGTATGCACCTGTGTTTCCATTAGTTCATAGTGACTTCCTAATTATTTACCCTGACGTCAGTGACAACTCTCAGACCCCCCAGCGTGTGCTACGGAGTGTGAATAGCTGACTAAGAGCACGGAATGAAAACAGGATGCTTTTTCTGCATTCTTCCCAAATTCCTTTAGCACGGGAGAGAACCGGGAGAGGAAAAGAAACAAAGGAAAAACAACAGCATGAACTGATATGGGCTGGATGGGAGTTGAGATTGCCACCTTAATCATGCCGTTGTCATAACACCAGTCGCATTGTTTTGCTTTGTATTAGTCCTTATTTGATGTTGTTATTCAGATTTGTTTCCTCCAAGACATGCTGGCTGATGGTAAATCATGATTGCGTTATTATAATTGTTTGTGAAAGTCTCACTGGATGCTTGTCTGTTGTTTTTCATATAGGATTAGGGCACTTTAACCCATGTTTCATTTCTTACTATGCATTTTTTCAATTATAGTATTTGACTTAGGGACTGTACAAAAATTACTAGGGTGGAGAGCAGGATTAAATCTTACATTTTATAAATTGTATTTAATCCGGTAGTCTTGGAAGATTATTCCATTTACTAGTTCCGCCAAAATATTTCAGTTTTTAAAATTGCAAGACCTTCCCCAGAATTAATGATATAGTTCTACCCCTTGACTTGAAAAACTGCAACCCCCTAATATCTCTGGGTCGGTAAAACTCATTCCACCTTTAATAACTAACTGAGACTAGGGAGTTATACTGTTTACGATGTTCACCATCTTAGTTTAACATGCTAGCATGCTCACATTTACTAATTAGCACTGAACACAAAGTATAGCTGAGGCTGTATGGGATTGTTTTGCTGGTATCTGGTCATAAACCAGAGTTTATTTTGACCTGATGATAGAAAGCTGAGGGAAATCCATCCAATAGAAGTCAAGACATTTCATGAAAAGCCAAAGATGATAACTTGCTAGTGGTCAGAAAAGCGCATCAGCTGATCACCAGAGACATGAACAATCACTTTCTGGGGTCAATGAATGTGTGTATAAATTGTAATGGCCATCCATCCAGTATATGCTGAGTTATTTTAGTCTGGACCAAAGTGATGGACCAACCAACTGACATTATCATCCCCAGATAAAAAGGAAAAACATAGAAGATTATTCTTATCAATTTAAGATGTGTTTAACAATAGCCACCAATGAGCAAACAAAAGGCTGAACTTGAGTTGTTATTCAGGCCAACTTTAACCACAACATTTTTATCTTTTTATCTGTTTTCTAAAACTGCTTGTTATGATGCCGAAGAAAGTGGAGGAGGAAACAACATTTGGTAGAGATAACATTTAGTGTGAACTAAATCCCTGAAACTGAGACAGCATTATTGTTCTCTGCATATGGCGAAGGATGTACAACCCACTGTGCACACTAGAACTGTCATTTGCAGCTATTTAATTCCAAGCTATTTTTTAATGAATCTTTGAAGGCAATTATGAGAGCAAAGAAAGTTATTAGAANNTTCTAATAACTTTCTTTGCTCTCACCCTAATAATTTGCATACAGTCTTTTAGTGCAATAACAGGATATAAAGCATGAAGGCACTGGCATCATCACTTGGATTAGGTGTTAGAACTCGCGCTGCTGGGAATAGTACAAAAATCTATTGTGATATGTGTTATGCCATAACTTGTGCATTATAAAACTTTGTGACACATCAACTTTGTTTTTGTGTTTTCACTTGCTGTTGTACAGCTCCAGACCAGACTGACTGTGATTACAGTAAAAGCCTGTGTTGGTACATTCCTCCTCTTCCTGGTTTTGTTTGCAGGGACCAGAGTTGCTCGGGGACAGACTGGGGACAGAGTGGCCTATCAGCACCGCCGGTCCAAACAGGCCTGCTGATACCAAAACATAAAGTCTAGCCATAACCAAACAGCCAGGACCAGCAGGAAGGAAGCAGCCTTGGTCAGGGAGAGAAGGGGACGTTCCTCTGTATAAATGGGTAACTTTCCAGTCATTTCAGAGCAAGTGTCATGAC